ATCTAACTCTAAGCTGAAAAATTGGATTTCTTCTATTTTGCCATCATTTTCTATAAGTTTCTTGAAAAAAGCCTTAAAACTACAACTACATGGAAATCATAATAAAAGTTCTTAAAACTAAATAAAACATTTGAAAAAAAATTGAAATCAATAGTAAAAATGGGTAAAAATCAAGTGTTATCATCAATGTGTGATAGTTGATGCTGATGTGAAAGAGAAATAGTAATAACATTATTGTAAATATGTTTTTTCGACAAAGCTCAAGAAGATATAATACTAGCAATAGTTCAATACCCTCAAATATCTAATAATTTTGAATTTTTATGTTATTCTAGTAATTTCAGCACTTTGTAAAATTGAAATAGCAATCTTCTTATTTATAAATTTGATTTTTTGTCATAAATTTATTATTGAGTAGCAACAAAGTATAATTAGCAATGTACTAGATTTTACCAGACTAGTGGAAACTCTAATCTATTGCTAAAATTTCAAAAGCCAATTTTCAGTAAATTCTTGATTCAGCAGCTTTTAGCTAAAATGCGTCTAGGATCTTTACCAGGTTTTTTTAGTACAAGAACCTTATTTTTTTAATACAGAAATCTAGTACAAGAACCTTATTGTTTTAATACAGAAATCTAGTACAAGAACCTTATTATTTTAAATCTTTTATTTTAATACAGAAATCTAAGCTCCTCCTACGGTTCAGCCCACAATTCCGAAAACCATGGAAAACGCGAGCCCCTTGGTTTTTGAAACTTTGAATAGTCTATTGTTGGGTATATAACTTAAAGTATTATTAAGAGCCTATTTATATATATTGGCTTTCTCCTAAAATCATGGAGTGATTGGAAGATACAAGAGGTTTTGTCCAACATTTTTAAATCGAAGTCGAAAAACTAGGATGATGTGATGATACACACGCGCGGCCATATGGGTACCAACCCCTATCTTTCATTATTCTTTTTGGACTTTTCCTTCTTTTTTCCTTCTTTTTTCCCCCTAATATATCTATATTTTTGGACATTTTTGCATGGCATCTTCATCTATCTCTCCTCCATTTGTCGTTCTTTTTCAGTTCAATGTATTATCAACAAGAGTTCACTAACCTTTTTTTTTGTCGACTTTATGAGTTCACTAACCTTTTTATTTTAGACATTCATGGGTTTGTTTTTAGCTCGACTTTTTTTTTCTTTTTTCTAGATTTGGATTTTTCTAGCTTCACTTTTGATAGAATTCGGGAGAAATATAAATTGATAAACAAAAGGAAGAGTTAACGTCTGAAAAAAAAGGAAGAGTTAACGTTGGATTGACAAAAAAAGCAAGAGTTAACGTTGGATTGACAAAAAAAGGAAGAGTTAACGTTGGATTGAAAAAAAAAAAAAACGTCGGATTATGTATTAGATAAACCTCCATGATCCATATATAAATATTTATATCATTGTATAAATCTAGCTAGAAAATTGGTCCTGTCATATATGACAATAATTATAATTTTTTATTAATTTGTTTAGCATAACACGACAAAAAAATGAGTTGTATGTTCATGTATTGTATGCCTCTGTTTTTCAACCTATTACCTATGCATCCTAATAATAATGGATCATCATCTTTGTCTGTCAATCACAATTTTAGAGCAATATATGATAGTTTGGTTCCTCGGTTAAATTCTATTTATGCGATCAACAAAATAGTGTATTGCACATATCATTTGATTCTTTTTCTATATGTAAAGGAATTAGTATCTTTTACAATATAAAATTATTTTTAAATGTAATTTTCTTATATCATTGTAATTTTATCGGATGTCTCCCAAAAAAAAAAAATCTATACAAAACTTCTAAATAACTTGAGAGGACTATGAATCTGCTAACTAAAATTTTAGAGCAAACATCATCACATATTTTTTCATAATAAACAGTATATTGATGTGTATTTGGTTGAGTCTTTTTATCAACTTATATGAGATCATATAATCATTGCATGTTATTATTTCGCAGAATATCTTCATTAGTTATGGGGGAGATAATCGCCACCCATGTGATAGCCGACATAAAACAGTTATCATAGGTACTAACAGGATGTAAAGGCTATACATACTCTACAATGGCTATATGTTAATTTTGCTTTGATAAAAAAATTCGCATCAACGAAAATCAATTTCCAATTTGACTCAAAATAAAAGAATTTGTTGTTTAGCGTAATTGCCTAATTGGTAAGCAGTTTTAGAATTTAGTGACACATTCAAAATCTCTCAAGTCTGATTCTACGAAATACAAAGAATAATACGTTTGAACTAAGTGGTTTTTATCATTACGAAAGCTATAAAATGCAAACAATGACACGTTCAGGTATACATAAACTTGATTAAATTTCTATCAAAAAGTTTGGCAAAAAAAATTGGCAAGTAGTTGAAATTTGTTTGAATATTTACGTTACCATATGGAAATGAGCTATAATTAATTATTGATATTTTTCTTTTGATTTTTAAGGTTTGTTTATAGGCGACACCGAAGTTACTTGTATTATATATTTACAATATACCTTTGTCGCATGATTATGTTAATTAGTTATTTACATAATAGTGGTCAACCATTAAAAGGACGACTAATGAACAAGAGTTAAGGCCAACGTTAACTATATTCTTTAAATTAACAACGCCGACCAAACCTTAAATAGTTGGATTAGGTTATTTCAGTAATTACAAAAATTGAAATGGAAAAATCTGAGAGTGAGAGGGAAACTCCAAAACCACGTTGACCAAATAAATCACCGGAAACCAGAAGCTGGAAATATGAGCAAAAAAGCCAAAAGCCAAAAGATTGTAAGTAGGAAAACCATCTGCGACGCCCATAGAGAAGAAACGAAACCGGTTTAGTTCCTACATCATCACTTTTCCCTCTCCGGAAAACCAGGAAATTCTGTACTTACGCACAAGTGTAATTATACGTAAAGAAAGGTTTGCTAACGCTTGATTTAATAAAAGAACACAGTGGAAATAAAAATGATTTGCAGAAGAAATAAAATTAACAAATTGAAGTCACGGAATTAAAAAAAAATAAAACTATCAAGCATTTATCATCGATATTTTCTTGATAAACTTTTACTGACATTATTGTAAGCTAAAACTTAAATTTTTTTTTAAAATTTTCTATGTTTTATTTACGATTTCATATTTAATAATAAAATATTTATAAAAAAAGATTTCGCTATTTTATAAATTACTAATCAAAGACTTTGCAAGACATTACAATAAACCTTACTATTAATTATTGAAAACTATAAATATAGCATTTGATTAATATGTCAAAAAGAGTTTTTGCGTTTGGATTATTTTTTAGTAATTTTTTATTGTGTTGACAATTTTACCACTTTATGTATATGTTTATGTATGGTATACAGAAAAATAACATAAAGAACAAAATTGTTTTTAAACCAAATTTTTTTTTTTAAAAAGTGTCTAAACACGCTTGAAACTTTGAAAAAAGTGTCTAATATTTCTATGTTAAATATGTTGAATGTTGATGATAAAATATAAAATATGTTAAAAATGTTATATTTAGACATTTTATTGTAAATATATTGAGTAATGTGTATTTAAAAAAAGTAACTAGAGATTAGGTTAGACTTCGACATTCAATGCCGGTTGTTTTAATGAAAGAAAACTACCGAATCTAACCAATATACGTTGACATTATTAGTTTAGTTAAAAAGTACAATAATTTAGTCAAAGTGATCCTTTCAGATAAATTTATTAGTAAGTAGTTCTTCGGATATTAATGTTAATTATCAGAATTAAGATGGAGCTACATACTGTAGCCGATCAGAAAACGCGGCGATTCGACCAACCTCTGTTACCATAGTGTCTCCGCCACGCGACCACACTATTCCGCTTTGCATGCGACTTTGAAGTTCGAACCTCTCTGCTCTTATTTCCCATTTTACCCTCTTCTCTTTTACGAGTAATTTCGCTTTCAAATTCACCTCCTCCAATTATTTTGGCAGTCCATTATGAATTGTCGAATATAAAACGCGGTCAGATATTAAAAAATATTTGAAAACACAAATAGAAACGCTTGCTTGGCTTTTTTGCCGATGAAGATCACGTGAATGAAGGTCGGAGACAAAACACAAAAAAAGCTTTGATATAGTATTTTTCATATTTATCAGTAGGTAGAAAAAAAAAGATTGTTAAACAAAATTGCATCGGATGGTAATAAAAACGATGAAAACTAAAACGACGATAAATGTCCATGTTCAAGTTAACATAATACTAGAGATAACACGATTCATGAACCCTTTTTGTTATTATATTGTGGAACACTTTTGCATAAAGTATATAAACTGTAGAATGCATTTCTTTTAAATTTCGAGTTCAAACTTTTTTGGGACAGAATGTTATTTTATAAATCAAAACAAAGGCTGACTCCAAGTATTAAGAGAAATTATGTGTTAAAAATCTCAAACTCTTATAATTCATCGACAAATTTAATATTTTGATATGTTCTTCATTTTAAAATATAAATCGGTTTATGATCTATTTTTTTTGTTTCAAAATATAAGTTGTTCTTGATATTTTATGCATAATTTTTAAAAACATTTCAATTTTAACCTTATTTTTATAATATATTAAGAGAAAGACAATTATATAATATATTAATAAAAAATATAATAGAAATTTTAATATACTTTATTAATATGTGTACAACCATCTAAAACGACTTTTGAAATTGATGGAGTATTTAGTAACATATTTTTATCAATTAAGTATATCATATTATCATTTATCTTTCTATATAGTCAATACACATTTTCATTTATCTTGGAGTACTAAATTTACCCACAGTAAATTGTGGAATTCATTTTTTGTTTTGTCGCTTACGAAATTCATCTAAGCATACTATACGATACAAATTATGAATATACACAAAAATAAATTCCATCGCTTGTTATGATCTCTCTCCGACCAAACCCAGCAGCTTCCTTTCTCTCTTAAATACCTCTCCTTTCTTCTAAGCTCAGGACCGTACTGTACTTTCCTCTTAGCACAAAAAAAAAAAAAAATTCTCCTCTCATCTTCTTTCAAAAAAAAAATGCGTATGAGCTGTAACGGATGTCGAGTTCTTCGAAAAGGCTGCAGTGAAAACTGTAGCATAAAGCCTTGTCTCCAATGGATCAAATCCGCCGAATCTCAAGCCAACGCCACTGTCTTCCTCGCCAAATTCTACGGCCGTGCCGGTCTCATGAACCTCCTCAACGCCGGTCCTGACCACCTCCGTCCTGGTAAACCAATTCGTCAGCTCAAAACAGATTTACTCTTATCATACATCTGATAATAGACTATCCCCCTGTTTCCGAAAACAGAGGACTCTGTTTTTTCCTTTATCATGCACTTGATAGTGGATCATCCCCTGTTTCTGCTTTTTTTCTTTGTTCTCTGTAATCATGCATTAGTGGATTATTTTCAAACAGATGACTCTGCTTTTCTCTCTATCATGTATCAAGAAATGGCTCATCCCCTGTTTCTGCTTTTTCATTGTTCTCTCTAATCATGCATTAGTGGATTATTTCAAACAGACGACTCTGCTTTTCTCTCTATCAATATCATGCATCAAGAAATGGCTCATCCTCTGTTTTTAAAGCTCTGTTTTTTTCTCTATCATTCCTCTGACTATGGATCATGCCCTGTTTTTGAAAACAGAGGAATCTGCTTCTTTTTTTCTTTATCATGCATCTGGTAATAGTTTTGTTTTTTTTTGTTTTTTGTTTTTTTTTGCAGCGATATTTAGATCATTGTTATACGAAGCATGCGGGAGGATTGTGAATCCGATTTACGGATCCGTCGGGTTATTATGGTCCGGGAATTGGCATCTTTGTCAAGCAGCCGTGGAGGCAGTGATGAGAGGCTCTCCTGTAACTCCGATCGCCTGCGACGCAGCGATCACAGGCCAGTCTCCTCCTTTCAACAACAACAAACTCTTCGACATAAGACACGTGTCGAGAGACGAGAACGGCTTAAAGAGTCGGTGTCGGTCGAGCCGTGGTGCAAACAAACAAGAGAGAAACGTGAGGTCGTCGCTGAGTCACGAGTCTTCACTGAGTCACGAGTCGACGGTGGTGAAGGATGAAGGGAGTATGGTTTCGTCGGAGGAGACGATGACGGAGGAACCGAGTTGGATCGGGCTTGAGCTTACTTTGGGGTTGGAGCCGGCCATGGCACGTGAGAGTCACGTGGTGGTGCCGATGAAGAAAAGGAAGCTAGAGAGATGTGGCACGTGCAATGATGAGGACACGTGTAAGATTGAGCTTGGACTTGTGTGCAGTGAGTGAGATGAATGGTGTGTTTTTTTGGGGCTGTGTGTTGAGTTTTATTAGCCTTTTAGGTGTACAAAGAGATTAGCAAATCTCTCTTTTTTAGTCTCTTTTAAGTTTTGTTTTGTTTACTGTTTTGCATGTTCGGTGTTTTTTCATAAATGTGTATGATAAAGAGGTCTTAACTTAACAAAATTGCAATCTTCAAAAATCTGTGCGGATTAAATGCAGAAGATCTAAAAAATTATAGGATGCATTAATTAAGCCTCAAAATTTCAAAGTGGCTTAGTGGTGAAATCTCAATATAAATATACATGACGATTTAGCCATTTATCATAGATAAAGCATATGGTTTCATTTAAAAGCTACATGTGTGATGTGTGTTAGATTTTGGTTCGCAAAGTTTCTCACATGTGTGGTGATGGATTAATTAGGTAGAGAAGAGGATTAGGACGTTTAGTTAACTGGGTCGAAATATTTATTCAACCAAACATGGCCCAACTCTTTTGGACTTAAATTCAGTAATTCTTTTGTTCTTTTGTCTTCTTGTTTACATTCTGTTTCTCATAGGCACAAAACAAAAAGGAAAAAAGGAATGATTTATAGTAAAAGAACGCAGTTCCTATAGTCTAGTAATTTTTTTAACATTGTAATTTTATTAGACAAGTATTTTCCTTTATAGGCCTATTTAAAACATTTCCATCCCTTATACTCTATGGGGATGCTTAAGATTTTTAATAATAATTTTGTGAAAATTTAAAAATTGAAAAACTTTTTTTTCTGTCCAAGCCAATTAAAAACTCACACCTGTCTAACTTTTTTTTAAACCAATTAAAAACTGACACATGTTTAAGGGACTCCTAAAAATCGATACTTAAATACATTTTTCATTTATTTTTAAAATTATTTTTTCTCAAAAAATCCCTATAGTACCAAGAATGAAGAAAGTTTTATATAGTTTTTGTGTCAATAATATGCTGGACTCAAATTTGGATGATGATAAAAGTTTCTAGAAAAACGGTGCGTTTATCTCTGAGGGTGATTTCGAGGGAGAATAGGGTTTTGCTTTACGTCTCCTTCAAGGAAGGACGCCGCCGCCGTTGAAACTTCCGATGGAGGAGTCCGAGGCGGATCAGATGCTGGGGACTCAGTCTCCGAATCCAGTTGCAACAGTTCCGGTGATGTCTTATGCGAATATCGTCCAATCTAAAAAAACTTTGACAAAGTACGATTTAGAAATATCTACAGCCAACGGTATCAGTTCAGTCAGGGTTCCGGAAGAAGTATTTCAGGATTCCTCGCTGTTGTGGGAAGACTTTGTGGTGGGTCGATTCTTAGCTACTGCTCCGCATATCGCAAAAGTTCATGCCATTGTAAACAAAATCTGGGCTTTGGGAGATAAGTCACAGATGATTGACATTCAAGTAATCAACCCTACAACAATGAAGTTTAGGATCTCGAATCCTATAACAAGAAATCGGGTGCTGAGGAGAGGAATGTGGAATCTTGCAGAAGTTCCAGTAGTTATGTCGAAATGGTCTCCATTCACAGAGGAGATTCAACCAGAAGTCAAGTCGGTTCCGCTGTGGGTTCATCTCCGCAACGTACCGATGGATATGTTTTCATGGAAAGGACTTAGCTTCATCACAAGTGCTGTTGGTGAACCAGTTCGTCTCCATCCCGATACAGCTCAATGTGTTGATTTCAAGCTTGCAAAGGTTTTTGTAAAAGCTGATCTCACTAAGGAGCTACCAAAGATGATGAACTTCACATCACCAAATGGTTCAGAATCGATGGTGGAATTCACTTACCCATGGCTTCCGACAAGGTGCTCGGTCTGTCAAAAATGGGGACACCTAATTACGGTATGTTTGGGAACACAAGCTGTAGCAGAAGGAAGTTCAGAAATTCTCAAAACACCGGTGAAAGATACCTCTGTAACAGGCGAAGCAATAACAATGGTGTCAGAAAAGAGTTCCGATAAAACAAATAAAACCACGATGGAAACCATTACTGAAAAACCACTAAGTGAGGAAAAGGAAGAGGGAGAATGGTCAGTGGTCACACCTGGCAAGGCAGGACGTGGCACACCTCAGAAACACAACGAGCTAGAATACGGACAAGTTTCCATCTTATCTAACTCGCGATTCGCCATATTAAGCAAACCTGACCTAGCTGATATGGGCGAAGATGAAGACTCAACAGAAAAGGAGACAGAGACAAACTCAAATGATGTAACAGATGTAAATTAACCATTACTTGAGAATACAGAGCAGAATGAGGAAACAGAGGCTGTTACACTAGTTCCACAAACAGAGCAAAGTGCACCAAATCATACGGAGGGAAGTCAAAAAGGAAGTGAAGCTCAATTAAGACAACCTTTACACCGTAGCTCCAAGGAAAATCACAAATTCCTCTCGGACCCTTCTACACAAAGAGCAAAGGATGTTATTCCTAGCACTTTGAAAAAGAAGGCCACCACCAAAAAAGCCAATTAATGTTGGGATTTACATGGAATGTACATGGATTTAATAAGTCTACTAAACATTCTGTTGTGAAGGATTGGATGAAGAAGGGTTCATTTCAGTTCGGGTGTTTGTTGGAAACACGAGTGAAGGAAACTAAAGCTATGTCAATTGCATCTGCAGTTTTCAAAAATTGGTTTTTTTTTTATCAAATTATGAGCACAATCGGCTTGGCAGGATCTGTGTTATATGGAGTCCACAAACCCGGGTTACCCCCTACTTTAAAAGCAGTCAGATGATCACATGCTCGATTTTACTGGAAGGTGCTACGGATGAGATCTTCTGTTCATTTGTCTATGCTCTAAATACAGTTAAAAAATTGTGGGAGGATATTAAAAATCATCAAGACTCTCCGCTGTTTAGAAATAGACCGTGGTTGATATTGGTGATTTTAATGAGATATTGAAGGTGGAAGAGCATTCAGGCTATATGGATTCTCCAACTGCTCCCACAGGTATGAGAGACTTCCAAGATATAGTTCGATATTGCTCTCTTGCTGATCTGAAAACACATGGACCATTATACACATGGTGTAACAAGAGAGAAGAAGGTCTGATATGTAAAAAGCTTGACCGAGTCCTCATGAACAATGCAAGGAAAAACTCATATCCGCAGTCATATTGTTCTTTTGAATCTGGAGGATGCTCAGATCACTTAAGATGCCGCATTCAAATCGACGCAGAAAAGCAGAGGATCAGACGCCCTTTTAAATTCACGAATGCAATCACTAGCTTGCCAGGATTTTTGCCTTTGATGAAGGATCATTGGGCGGAAACAGAAGCCATCTTTAGCTCTACGTCTGCAATGTTTCGTTTCTCTAAAAAACTGAAGGCTTTGAAGCTGAAGTTACGAGGGTTTAGCTATGTGAACCAAAAAGGCATATGAGGAGCTATGTGAAGCTCAGATGACAACATTATCAAACCCTGCTCAGGCTACAGTGGACGTGGATGCCAGAGCTTATGAGAAATGGCAACACTTAGCAGAGATTGAAGAAAAGTATCTCCGTCAAAAATCTAAGCTGCATTGGCTACAGGTTGGAGACGGGAATAACAGATATTTTCATCAAGCGACAACGCAAAGAGCGATGAGAAACTCAATCAGGGAAATTCAAAGGATTGATGGTTCATTGGCAGTAACTCAAGAGGAAATAAAGGAGGAGGCTGAACAATTCTCCCACAAATTTTTATCCCATGAAATTGTAGATTACAATGCAGTTCGGAGGTGGTGTGTTCGTGTCAACTACGTGAGGGAACAAGTTTTACCCTTAACAAAACAAATGAAAGCCGCAAGTGCACAGCTAATCAGTTGTAGTATTTAGGGATCGAATCCACAGAGATTTGTGTGCCTGGTATTCTTCTTTTTAACTTTATGTCTAGACTAAATTGGTTTTAAAGGTTGGTTATTTTTCTTGCGAATTAAACTAAAACAAAAGAAAGCAAATAAATCTATCCTAAAAAGCAGGTAAGAAATCCGAATGGAATGCAATTAGAATGGGCAAATATCGAATGAAAGACTAATAAGGCAAGTAAGATATCGCATGAAAGGTAAATAAAGCAAATAAATAATGAACTAAGGAAATTGAAATGCAGGTCTAAGAAAGCAAGTAAAAATCGATGGAATTGTAAACTATGGCTAAAAACGCTGAGCTTTTGGGAACTCTAAGGGATCATAATCGGTTTTAACACTAAGGTAGATAGATTGGGATTGACAGATAACGATATATGGGTTCTAGAGCTAGAGTACGGCGGTATGACTATGTCACTGTCGTGATCATAACCAACTGTTTCTCGCAACCCTGACCAGTAGGTTTCCACTCTGGCCCTGGAAGGGAGAGAACGCAAGAGCTGCACAAGACTCGTCAATACTCACGATCTCGCCGCAGGTAGGTTTCCACTCCTACGGAAAAATTGCCTGTTTCATTCTAGGGCTGATACTTAATGAAAATTTCGCAACACTAACTATCTAGATCAGATACTAGGTGATCAATCAAGCATACATGCAATAAGAACAAGAATAAACAGAGAACAGGTCGAAATCCCAGATCTATAAACCTAGATGTCTTAATCGATTATGAGAGCCCCTTTCGAGAACCCTAAGCCCAACTCGGGATCTACTCAGACATGGCTGAGTTCGACATCATCATTGGTTTTAATAAAAGTAATGAAAAACAGTAAAGAAAAGAGATAAAGAAAGCTTCTCTATTGAAGAACTCGGACTTGAACAATCTTCTACAAAAATCTCATAAAAATGGCTAAAGGAAAAGAGTTTCTAAAAAGTATGAAGGGTCCTCTCTAAAAGCGACCTAAATGACATGTATTTATAGTCTCCAATACTCCATGGTCTCTAGGGTTCCGGAATTGAGGCTGAGAATGACTTTGGGCTTCAGATAAGTGGGCTTTAACTCGAAGATTGATTGCCGCGGTCGGGAGTGTTGTGACCGCGGCAATTGGCTTGTTGGCCGCGGTCGGGAAGCTTCTGACCGTGGCAAATAGCTTGTTGGCCGCGGTCGGGTGAGTTGCTGACCGACTTCGAATGGCTCCGGGGCTAATGAAATATCTTGAGATCCAAACGTTGGAATGTCTCCAGACCAAGTGCATTTGAAAGCTGGTTGATTCTTCTATAAGTTGTCCAATTTTGAGGGTGATCAGAAGGTGAGAAGGTCTTCGTTTCTCCATGAGAGTT